TCAGGATTCATGCTTTACTTGCATGATCATCTCATATTACTCACAACTTGTTGTTACCCATTGAACCTATTTCTTGGGATCTCCAGTCATTTAGGTCGGGTTACCATCATGAGCAACTCATTTTCTTATAGGCATTAGTCCCATCTTATATGATGTATTATACTTTCTCTCTAGCCAATTCTTTCGTCAAAGGATCTGCTAAATTTTCATCAGTGCGTACATGATCCACTCTTACAACTCCTTTAGAGATACAATCTCTAACAGTGTTGTGCTTTCTTCTTATTTGACGTTTTTTACCATTATAATAACAGTTCTTAATTTTTGCAATAGTCGCGGTACTATCGCAATGGATCAAAAAAACTGACATATGTTTTTCCCATAAGGGAATCTTAGTTAGCAAGCATCTTAACCAACTTTCTTCTTCACTAGCAGTCGCTAATGCTATATTCTCAAGATAATATGTTTCTTTAATTTCTAAGATACAACTCCTCTAGCTATGTTGAATACATAGCCACTAGTTCCTTTGGAATCATCTGATAAGGTATTCCAATCTGCATCATTGTATCCTTCAGATACAATAGGAAATCTCTGATAATGTAAACCGAGATCATGGTCCTTTTAAGGTAACGTATGACTCGCTCAATAGCTTACCAATATTCATTACTCGGTCTACTAGTAAACCCGTACAATAATCCCACGACATATGCAATGTCAGGTTTAGTACAATCAATGGAATACCTAAGACTTCCAGTGATGCCCACATGTTGTTTGTCTAACACTTTCACCAGTGTTCTTAAAAAGCTTCACACTTGGATCATTTGGTATGCTCACAGGTTTACTGTCAAAGTAATTATATTTCTTTAAGATCTTTTTCACATATTATGATTGATCCAAAGAAATTTCTTGCTCGGATTTTGTGATCTTGATACCAAGAATCACACTCACTTCTCCGAGGTCTTTCATATCAAAGTTGTTGCACAACAATGATTTCATATCATTAATGGCCTGAATGTTTGATCCGAATATGAGTAGATCGTCTACATGTAGACATATGATAGTGAAAATACAATTCTCAAATTTGTAATAAACGTATTTGTCACTTTCATTCACTTTGTACACATTCGATATCATTAAGTTATCAAACTTTACATGCCATTGCTTTGGAGCTTGTTTTAGCCCATACAAAGACTTGTCTAACTTACATACCTTGTTTTCTTATCCATAGATCACAAACCCTTCCGGTTGTTTCATATAGATTTCTTCTTCTAAGTCACCGTTTAAAAAACTTGTTTTAATATCCATTTGATGTACTATTAAGTTATAAATAGCAGCTATTGAAATAAGTACCCTAATGGATGTAATTCTAGTGACAGGAGAAAAGGTGTCGAAGAAATTTATGTTTTCTCTTTGTCTAAAACCCTTGGCAACAAGGCGAACCTTGTATTTATCAATAGTTCCATCAGGTTTTAGTTTCTTTTTCAAAACCCATTTACAATCGATTGGTTTGCAACCAGGAGGCAAGTATACTAAGTGTCAGGTCTTGTTAGATTCTAGAGATTCTATCTCATCATTGATAGCTTCTTGCCATAAATAAACATCCAGAGATGACAAGGCTTCTTGAAGATTCATTGGATCTTCTTCTACATTATAAGCCGCATAATCAGGCCTATAGTCTTTAGCAACTCTTACTCGTTTACTTCATCGAAGTTCTGTTTCTACATTGTCGTTGCTTTCTGTGCTTCTTACCACAGGAATGTGACTCGATTGTGTGCCCTAACTATTTCTCAATTTGAAAGGAAATTTGTCTTCATAGAATTCAACATCATTTGATTCTATGATCACTTTTGCCTTTAGGTCATAAAACCTATATGCTTTACTGTTTGCTTCATACCGAATGAAAACATATTCATATGCTCTACTAGCGAGTTTAACTCGTTTCGGATCCGGAATTCTGACATGAGTCAGACAACCTCAAGTTCTCAAATAAGACAAGTTTGGTTGTTTTTTCTTTAATATCTCATAAGGAGAGATCTTACATTTTGACTTGGGGACTCTATTCAGGACATAGTAAACAGTCAATAAAATTTCCCCCACCAGTGAGGTGCAGCACTAGAATTCATCATAATTGCAACAACAAGTTCAGTAAGAGTTATATTCTTTCTTTCTGTATTACCATTCATTGCAAGATAGTATGGTGTAGTCGTTTCATGTACAATTCCATGTATAAAATTCATTAATAAACTAGAATCATACAGTTTATCTATCACTACAAATTCTTATTATATCATTTTCAAATTCTTTACAAAAAAATTTAAACATATAAACTTCATTCTTCGTAATGACGTACAAATCTACCCCAATAGACTGGCTAAAACCATGTCTTATTTGAAAGAAAACCAGAAACAATATTCTTTCTAATCTTAGGAACATGCATAACGTTCCTTAAGATTAAAGTCTTTTTGAAGGTAAAATTTAGCTCTATGTCTACAATTCCCGCAACATTCGTGGTCTGGCCATCTCCCAACAACACTTTCTTATCTTTAGTACTCGTGTATGTTTAAACATAACACGATCATAACAGACACAACGAGAGACACATGTGTCTATCCACCAATCAACATATCCATCAACCATGTTGATTTCAATGACCATAGAAATCAATTTCCCATTAGTCAGGTTGACCTGTGCATTAGGGACAACACCAAGTTCAAGCTTACTTCTACATTTCTTAGTCACATGACTTGATTTTCCATAGTTAAAACAAAAGGAAACCAACGTCATTTCTTTTAGGTGGTGGTTGTTTCCTAGTTGGAGCTATTGGGATCATAGAAGGATTCTCATTCTTTATTCGGTTCACAATATTGCAGTTCTGATTCTTTAATCATTTGCCAAATGGCTTCAGAACTACACCGAATTTCTTTTTGTTGTTTGAAACAACCAAGACTTTTTCTTTTTGATATTATCTCTAAGATTTCCTTTTTGTTTTTTAAACATTCAAACTATGGGGTAGTTTGTCAATAATAAAACCAATTTTAAATTGTTCATTTAAACACATACCTTTTGTGATGATCTTTTAAGCAATCTTTTGAAGTTCGTAACATTGAGCCTTCATCGACCTTACATTTTTGCATTTGATACTTGAAGTAGCGGCTACGTCATACTTCTTTTTCTGAGTCTCTCAATCTTGTTTTGCAGTATCACATCAACTGTAATTATCATACAGATCATCTGTGATTCTATTCAAAATATGATTTTGTAGAGATTTTCATTCTCTTTCTATAAGGTGATTTCTTTACTATGCTGTAAATCATCCGCTTTAATCTGTGCATCAGATTCAACTTCAACACTATTAAGTGTTTCTTCTAAATCTCCAGATTTACTACCGTTAGTTTGTTCGATTGTTCCAGAAGGAGCAACAGAATATCATCGATCAGAACATTAGCAACTTTTTTCAACGTTAAGAACTTCATCTTTTGTTGCCAACGTTTGAAGTGACTTCTCTCAAACATGAACGATTTCTCAAAGACAATATCCGCAAAAGAACCAATAATTTCTTCGGTAGTCATGGCAGTTTGAAACGTCTTAAAATTGTTGTTTTCAGATTTTAAAATATTTGCCACCAAAAAAATTACCAGGTTGAGTCGCAGACTAGGTCGCTCTCTTTAAGACGTTTCGCGACACTGCTCAAAATTATGCAAAGCAGTCGAACTACCGCGTCGCCTCCAGGATAAAACAACCCAATTCTATACTGTACGATTACTACTTGCATGATAGATAATCGGTCTAGAAATACACCCTCTGATGGTACAAGACCATTCAAATATGGTATCAACACCACTCGTAGTATCTGGTACAAAGACCAGTCATAATAATTTCTCAAACAAAAAGAAACTCAAATAATTCTCCAAAGAGAAATTAATAATAGTCATTTGACCACTCATAATAATTTCTCCAACAAAGAGAAATTCAAATAATTCTCCAAAGAGAATTCAAAAGATTAAACTTGAAAATTCTTCAACTCAAATGAGGAGAAATTAACATAATTCTCTAAAGAGAATTCAAGAAAATACTCGGAAAATTCAACGAGTAGGAAGAAAGGGGAAGAACATGGCGCTTCGACAATTCGAGAGACGCATAGCTATGAGAGTGAGGAAGGAAAAACTAATAAAATAGTTTTTGGTGTGATTTGGAATGAAACATGTGCACTCCTTATATAGTGAAGTAATATAGTTAATATTTCTCACATAAATAATGTAAGACTAAATAATTTTTTCAACCAAAAAGATATTCTAACAATATGGAACTTAAATTTTTTTTAAATTCAATATATTAAAACATGGACATGTTCCAACATTATCCATCAAATAAAAAAGATATACTTTTGATATTCAATCCAATCTTCCGACTCTGACATACTCTTGATAATAGAGTTATTAATTAATATACTTATTAATTAATATACTTTACTATTATATATTATCCAAATATCAACAATGATATTTGTACTTATCCCTCAAAAAAAGACAATAATATGTCTAGTCAGTCGGTTAGATGGACATACATACTGAATATAAATAACAACTTCACTAGAGTCAAGGTGCACTAACTTTGTCCAAAAATCTTATTTTTATTTTTTATTATTTCATAGTTGAGAGCTTCACTATAGCCAAATTGAATAGCTTTTGTCCAAAAATCTCATTTTATCTTTAGTTATTTCATAGTTGATATAGTATAGCTTTAACATTACATATAATATAATTCTTAGTATTAATAATAAGGAAAAATGCATACAAAGCTTAATATTTAATACTAAAACAACTAAAAATAAAGAAAAATGAAAAATGCATACAAAGCTTAATATTTAATACTAAAACAACTAAAAATAAAGAAAAATGCTATTCTTACATAATTTATTCTCAATAATAGAGAGCGTAGAGTTTAACATACCCATATAAAACTAGCATCTCCTCAAGTAAAAGAAAACCAGTGTAATTTACTCATCACTTCATAAGATCGTTAGCAATAGGTAGTGCTTTACACAGAGCCTTAAATGGAATACTTTTAGGCATGGTAACTCCTTTACCCTCCATCATATCAAGTTTCTCCTCACTCTCCCTTTTCCATTCAAAGCATTGAACCAACAAGCCCACAGTTAAGCCCACCGTACGTTGGGCCAAACTCAATCCAGGACAAGCCCTTCTCCCCAACCCAAATGCAATCAACTTGTTAACCTCCCCTTCTTTTTCAAACCTCTCAGGCTTAAAACTCAAAGCATCACTCCAAAGTGTTGGGTCTCTATGAATGGCCCAGACATTAGTCAAAATTATAGTATCTTTTGGAACATTGAATCCTCCAATGGTACAATCCCCTGAAGAATAATGTGGTATAAGTAATGGTGCTATTGGGTGTAATCTAAGTGTCTCAGAGATTATGTTTTGTAGATATGGAAGTTTTGGCAAATCTTGTTCCTCTATTAACTTGTTTTTTCCAATTTGAGTCTCTATTTCTTCCTTTGCTTTTCTCAACACTTCTGGATGGTTTAGTAATTCAGCCATCACCCATTCTATAGTCAGTGCTGAAGTGTCTGTTCCTGCAAGAAGCATAGCCTACATCCCATTTCAAATAGTCAGGCTTTAACTCAACAAAACATACAAACAAACGTAATCACAAGTGTCATTATCGTGTCTGCACTGATACACACTTTTTTCAGTGGTGTACGCGTTCCAGAGAAATTTGGTTATATTAATTACTCACCTGAATAAGACCTTTGATGATGTGAGCAGAATAATATTCAGGCTGCAACTCACCAAGCTTCAAAAGATGATCAATCATGGTATCTCCATCACTATGATTTCCACTCCGATGTTCTTCAATGAGACCCTCCAAAAATGAATCACAACTTTTTGCGATTTTCTTGCACCTCTTCTCCAAGTTGTTAATACCAAACAACTTTAACAAAGGCAGAAAATCAGCTTTGTTATTAGCACCTAACAAAGACATTATCTCACTGATTATTTCCCTAAACTGTTTGGCTTCTTCAACGTCCGTCACGTCTCCGTCGTCTCCATAATACCGTTTTCCAGATATCATTCTCATCATAGCATTAAACGTCATCTCCGTTAGTCTCGACCGGAGTTCCACTTCGATAAAATCTCTAGAAACAGCTAGCTTTTGAATAAGTCTATTTGCTTCGTCTATGCGAACTTCCAAAAAGGAGTTAAGACGGCTGTTAGAGAGAACATCAATGGTTATTATACGGCGTAGGTTACGCCAATGGTGTCCGTAAGCAGCTGAGCCTAACGTGGTGTAGTTGTAGAAGATGTATTTTCCGGTTAGGAACCGTGGTCGGTTTGCTAAAACTATGTCGTTTTTGATTAAACATTCCTCGACTAAAGAAGGCGAAGAGACAACGACAACTAGGCGCGAACCGAACCAAAGGGAAAAGATGTCGCCGTATTTTTGAGACAAGGTTGTGAAGGTACGGTGGAGAGGGTGTTTTAGGTGGTGGAGGTTGCCAATTATGGGGATTGTTGGTGGACCTGGTGGAAGGTTTTTTAGCTTCCTTGATTGGGTTTGGCGTAAGATTTTGATGGTTATTATGAAGGTTAGAGAGAGTAATGAGTAATAGAATAAGGGCGACATTTTTTAACACTTTTTTGGTTGATTTGTTTTTGTATTAAAGAATGAGAGTTGCATATGTATGTATATAAAGAGGGAAAAAGAGGGATCTACACCCCTATCTCATCTTTTCTTTTGTGTCTCTATCTCTTTCATCATTTCTCTATCAGAAATCTTAATAGTAAAACTAACACCACTTATTATTTGGTTGGTTATATTTCGTTCAACAATGATAATATCAAAATATTTGATATCTAATTTTTATTGGTAATATTTCTATTGCATCAAAACATTTCTGTTACCTATTGCATCAAATTGTATATAATAAAATTTTAGTCAATATTAATTGATTTATAATCATATTAAAAAAATATATATTCATAATTAATTTTATAATTATTTTACATTTAAATTTTTTAAGATATTTTTTCATACAAGTATTATTTTTCTAAAAAAAATTTTAAAAATTGATTTTTAATTTTTCAAAAAAAAAACTTTTTCTTAAAAATTAAAAGTAATATATTTTTCAAAAAAAATTAATTGGTATGTATTGACAGTGTAAAACCATTTTACACACTTTCAGTGAATTATAATTGTTAAATATTTATTGAAAGTTAATTTTTATTTTAATTATTTATAAAATAATTTTTGTGAATGATACTGTGTAACGAAATATTAATTTCCCAAAATTTAAAAAAATAAATATTTTTTTAGTTTTTGTAAAAAATACTTTCTTTTCAAAATAAAAAAAAAAGGTGATATTATATATTTTTTTAAATGATGTTTCAGTAAAATATATTAAAATATAAAAAATAATTTTTATACATTTTCGGTGTAAATACTTTTTACATAATCAACCAATAAAAGTTAACAATTTATTATATCATTAAAAATATTAAAATAAATAAAATATAATTAGATAAGTAATTGTGATTGGTTGACAGTGTAAAACTATTTTACACTGTCAATGCATCACTTGTTTTCTTAAAATATATTTTGATATAATAGAAATGTTACCAACAATAAAAATATTTTGATGCAATAGAAATGTTACTAGTAAAAATTAAATATTATATATTTTGATGCAATCATAATTCAATGAAATGCAATCAGTCAAATGATAATTGGTATTGGTTTTATTGTTAAGGTCTCTTGTTCGTATCTTCTTGGAATCAAATAGAAAATTTTAATTTTTAAACAAAAACAATCTAATTCAACAAGATTCTCACGCTCAACAATGACATAGGAGTACAGTAAACAGAATGTTTATTTTATAAAAGTGAAATCACAAAAAAAGAAAAACATCCTATTCATAAGAAGACAACATATATTTAACCCTTATTTTAATTTTCAATTTTCTCTCTCTCTACACTCACAAAATTGGAGCTGGAGTGGTGCTCACCAACCAACAGAGGATGTGAATTCAAAAACTAATTGTTGTCATTACTCTTCTGCCATCCCTCTTGTTCTTTATTCAATGTTAAAAATTAAGGGTGACAAACGGACATGTTCATTCTATTTAAGTCTGTTCTGCAAAAGTCCATAAAAAAATAGAATAGACATTGTTGAGGATGCGACCAAAAGCATATCTCAACTCCTTAAAAAATGAGGGTCTACGAGAAAAACCCGCGGACACTGCACCATTTAAACTTAAAACACAAAAAATTATGAAAATACATGTGTCAGCAAAAACACAGATAAAAAATAAGATGGGAGGAGACGGACATATTAAAAGGTGAAAGCCTAAACTCTTAATCCACCTCACACTAAAGTATGGATAAAACAGACATGTCCAATAAACTTTAATCATTTTGTCACCCCTACTAAAAATCATCTGTTGTCATTACTCTTCTATCATTCCTCCTACCCTTTATTCAATGACTGAAAATTAATTAAAAATAAATAGAAAATAATTTGGTTTTGAAAAGAGATATAGATGCAGATGAATCGTGAGAGCAGGAGGACAACAACACCAAAGGGTGGGAGAGGATCTAAATCTAATAGAATTTTTTTTTAATTGAATTCTTGAGATAATTGTGATATAAAGAAGACAAAAAATATTATATTTATTTTTTAATTAATTAAAATTTTGTGATTGATTGTATGTAAAATTATTTATGAGATTGTGTATAAAAAATTTATTTTAATTTTTAACATAAATATAAAATTTGTTATTAGTTAATCTTATTATTGAATTAACTTCAAAAACATATAGTATTAAACATATATTGTATTTATAATTTATTAATCAAATTTATTAATCAATAAAATATATAATATTGATTAAATTTTAATATTAAAATATAAAATATAATAATCAGTTTATATATTTCTTTAATCAATTTTTTATTAATAAAGTATAAAGATGAATTATTATATTTAATAACTTATCTTCAACACTTAATTAATGCCTATTAAATTTAGCATCAATTACCATTCAATCAATTAATAATTTGTAATTAATATTATATATTTATTGGTGATGAAATAATAAATTTAATTAATAGTTATAAATAAAATGTGTGGTTAATAACATATATTTTAATAAAATTAACTAATAATAAAATTAATATTTTTGTTAAAAAATAATTTTAAAAAACAACTTTTTATAAATAGTACTATTTTATTTAAAAATATTATTTATTGTATTTAGGAACAATAAATATAAAATAGGTATAAATTGTGGTGTTAAAATAACATTGCTCTTTCTTTTAATATTCATTTATTTTAAAGACACCACATCAAAATGTCCTTCACTTTCTTTATCATATAGCCGCCTATAATAGATTCAAATTATATAAAATGACATTGTTATTGTATATAGTTATGGAGAATCAAAGCAATATCTAACCATTTAAATATACTTAGGACAACATACGGGTAATATTATGAGAAAAACTTGTATGCAAATGAATTTAAATCTCCGTTCTTAAAAACAGTTAATAAAAATAAGGAAAATTTTAATTTATTTAAAATTTAATTTATTTTTTAATTAAATTTATAAAATGGTTATGATAATAAAGAAAAGAGAATATTTTACTTTTAATTTATGATTGGATATTTATAAATTAAGGTGTTATGTTTGTTTGCATCTAAATTATTTCCAACATTAATTTTGTATTTATGATATTAACTTTTTTAAGAAAACTTAATTTAAAATATAAAGACAAATTATTATATTTAATAACTTATATTAGCGCTTAATTAATATCTATCAAATCTAACATCAATTATTATTGAACAAACTAATAATTTATAATTAATATTATATATTTTATTGGTGAATGAAATAATAAATTTAATTAATAAGTTTTAAGTAAAATATGTGATTAATAATATATATTTTAATAAAATTAATTAATAATAAAACTTATATTTTTGTTAAAAAATAATTTTCAAAAACAACTTTTTATAAATAATACTATTTTATTTAAAAATATTGTTTATTGTATTTAGGAACAATAAATATAAAATAGATGCAAATTGTGGTGTTAAAATAGCATTGCTCTTTCTTTTAATATTCATTTTATTTTAAAGACACCACATCAAATCATATGATGTCCTTCACTTTCTTTATGATATAGCCGCCTATAATAGATTCAAATTATATAAAATGACAATGTATTGTACATAGTTATGGAGAATCAAAGCAATATCTAACCATTTAAATATACATAGGACAAGATACAGGTAACATTATGAGAAAAACTCGTATGCAAATGAATCTAAATCTCCGTTCTTAAAGAGTTAATAAAAATAGGGGAAATTTTAATTTATTTAAAACAATTTATTTTTTAATTTGGATTTATAAAATGGTTATGATAATAAAAGAAATAGAATATTTTACTTTTAATTTATGATTGGATATTTTATAAATCAAAGTGTTATGTTTGTTTGCATCTAAATTTTTTCCAACATTGATTTTGTACTTATCATATTAACTTTTTCAAGAAAATTTAATTTAAAGAATCTAAAGTCTATATGTATTTAATTTATAGAAAAATTAATGAGATTTTTTTTACAAAAATAATTCATAGAGATTTTTCAAAAATATATGACGACCTTTTATACATTTTTTAAAATATATATAAAGTCAGTAGAAAATAACTTTGTTTCAAAGAATATGAAATATATTTAAAGATAATTTGATTGAAAAAATTATTTCATTCAATTAAAAATATATATTTTTTAGTTATTGATTTATAAGTATCATGTTAACATTAATATATAATGAAACATGGTAGAAATCAAACAACTTACACCCATCCAACGTAATTAACACACTAAAAAAATTTAAATCATTAATCATATATATGTTCTTTTTATTATACTTAATAACAGATTAATTATTGAAAATATGTTATAACAAAATATAGGAAAAAAATTAAATATAAATTTATCATAGACTAGTTTTTTAATACATAATTTATTGGAAATATATTATAGCAAAATGTCTGAAGAAAATTAAATAAACCTTTAGCACAGAATAACTATTTGTGTTTATAATTGATAGAATGGTTGTTTTATTAGTACACATATTTCACACATACTTTTAATTTTTTAGTGTTTAAGGTTGTATATATAGGAAGAGAATAAAAAATGCTTAGAGAGCTACAAGTAAGATCTATGTTAACAAAAAAAAAAAGTCAACACATGTATTATCTTTTATATTATATTATATATATATATATATATATATATATATATATATATATATATATATATATATATATATATATATATATATATATATATATATATATATATATATATATATATATATATATATATATATATATGTGTGTGTGTGTGTGAGAGAGATGAAGAGATGTCTTTGTGCAAAATAATTCAAGCAAAATATTCAATTATTGCAAACTTGCCAAGATAACAAAGAAGGTTTACAAAAAGTTTGAACAACAAAAGATAAGTAAGTTTCAATCTTAATTTAGAATTATTAAAGGGATAATTTAGTATTTGTTATATTTGAAATATTTTCTCTTAGAGTCTATGTGACATTCTTATCT